AATGATTCTATGATTCTATGATTCTGTTGCATTATTTCTAAAAGTGGCCATTGCTGCAGGCTTTCTTCATCCTTGGGGGAGTATTTGCTTTGTTTTTTTCCATGAGAATAACTTGTTTAAACATTTAAATGTTTAAATAAATATAACTTGCAGAATATAGCCCTAATTCTGCAGCTGAAACCAGAAAAGGCTGCAGCCCATATATGTCCTTTGTGTGTGGTGTTTTTTTGTGTGTGCAGGTGCTCCCTGATGGGGTTTGATTTAAATCGGCACTGGGCAAATCCATCTCCTTGGGCTCATCCCACACTGCACGGAGTGAAACAGCTCATCATTGAGATGTACAACAATCCGGTGAGTGAGGAAAGGTGATGCCAGAACAGCCACTTGCTGAGGTACCGACTGTCTCCCGCTGCGGGGTTGTGCAAGATGCCAGTAACTCTGACGTGGCTTAATCCAATGGCAAACCATAATAAAAGAGAAGTAAGCAAACATCACCCCCACTGCATGAGATCAGGGAACGTTTGTGTCTTTTGTCACAGGAAGCATCAGAGTGGAGAGAGCAAGTGAAATGAAGTTCAGCTCAGATTAAATATGAAATAATTCTGAAAACAGGGCCTAAATTCAATCGAGCTGCTCTGCTGATGTCCTGAGCTGGATTCAAAACAGCAGGCCCCCCAAATTGAATTACTGAATGGCACTGATATTTAATCCAGAGTTCCGGCAGGGGTTGCTATGTAGCGTGCAGAGCAGGAGGGGGATAATATTTGCAAATATTATATAAACACACATGCACCCACTCGTGCTCACTCAGAGAAGCAGAGGGTTTTGAAGGTGAAATCTTAGCTAATCAGAGGAGACGGATTGCAGAGAATATGGAGGAGTGGGAGGGAGGCAGACAGCTATTGAATGTTTGACATCAAAGTGCAGAAGGATTATTGAACGTGGCACCTAAGAAAAACTGCTGAGCAAAGATGGAGATGGGCAGGAAAAAATCATTGCCAAAAAATTAGAGGAGATTTGATAAACAATTATTTTTTCTGTATGGAATTCCTGATATTTGTCCTTTCTTTTTGCTTCCCATTACATAGATGGCATTTGGATCTTTAATTCCCTGAAGTTTTGATTTATTTTTTTTTTTTCTGTTAGCATGGAAAAGGACCTGGTTTGCCTTGCTAATAAAGACAGACGATTCTTACCACTGGCTACATCATGTATAGGATAAGAGCTCCTCTAATTTAACTCCTGCTTCTCCCAATACATCTTAATTGAACTTTTTATCTTCCAGCTAGTAGTAATACCTGTACAGAAGGGGGTTTAGGTACAAGGAAGAGAGGTTAATAGATAAAGTCCTTACATATGGAGTGGAATCCAATTGCATGGAAAATATTTTCTTAGACTGCTAATTGTTTGGCACAGAATTTATCTTTTTGTTCTGTTTGTGCAGCACCTAGCATTATGCCTGTGACCAAGGCTCCTAAGCCCTGCTGTATTAGAGTGATGATGACGGAAAGTAAAGAAAGGAGCTTTACAGCCAACCTGGTCTTTCCTCTGTTTCCTACCCCAAATAGCAAGACAATTTTCCTTCTAGATGATGGAGAGAACATGTAGGCTACTTTTTCTGAGAAGAAAGATTTTCTCCCAAGAATAAAGAGTTCCTTAAACATTACAAGAAGGTAGGGTGTAAGGAAATGATTCTAGGCAGTAAAGCATCAAAACCTGGCACTATTAAAAGTCACTGTCAGTAAAATAAAGTTATTCTTGGAGGAAAGAAAATCCTTTTCAGCTTTGTCCCATGCCTGGGAAGCTTTGAAAACTGTGGTAGTTTCCAGCTGTCCTGTGTGCGAAGAATGAATTTATTTGCTGTGGTGGCTAAATTGAAAAATCAAAAGAACTGTTTGGTCGGAGTTGGTCTGAAATGGAAATCTTTTTTTTCCTCCATTTCTCTGTCTCCCACCCCTCCCCAGGTATCAACTTGAGATGAACCAGTTCCAGTTAATTTCCTTCTAAGGGAAAGAAAAAGGAGCCTTTCAAGCACAAGTGTAACATTTTATTTTCAGGGTTATTTAATTTTTTAAAAATACTATTTAGGAATCTTATTTTGGATTAAACTACCAGCAAAGTTTAGGTAGCTCTTCAGAGTTTCATTTCTCAGTGAATTAGCTACTCAGCAAAAAAAAGTATTGTCTGGTTTTATTATCGCCTAGTCAATACCAGCCTTTCTGACAGTTTTAGAGACCCTCAGCAGTACAGTGCAGTATATGGGATTACTGTTTTTTTCAGGCAATACCAAATTCTTAGTCCCTCTGATCCCAGTAATATTTGTGTGAACAGACCATATCCAAAGTGCTGGGACAAAAGGCAAGAACATGCCAGCTGCCTCAGAGAGAAGGCATGGGACTGTACATGTGCCATCCTAATTTAGCAGTGACTGTTTTTATTAAGAGATAAAAAACCCTACCCCTCCCCTCCTGCAAGAGTGCCAGTATAAAAACCTGCTTTGAATCACTTCAGGCTTCTAAAGATTTTAACTACTCTCCCGGTGTAGAGTGTAACTTTTAGATGAGTAATACCTGATAGATAGTTGGCTGCATGCCTAGTTGAACCAGTTGCAGGAGGGCTGCTGTCGAACTGCAACATGTCAGGGATTATGCACTTGAAGACATCTGCCCTGCCACCCTCTCCTCACCTGAAGTCTCCCCACATTGGAGAATATGAAATGGAATAAAATGCGAAGTAAAGTTCCTTGCAAAATAATGTAGTAAAAAAATAACCTTCATCCCTCCCATTCTAGACAAGATCTGCCATGAGGAGCTGTCCACAAGAGATTGGATTGTTTAAAGCAGAGGAAGTTCAGCTTTGTGTTGCCACTGCAGAATGGCTCAGTGCAGGCCTTTTAGATGTATTCATTCCCTTAAATCATTTAAGGAAAATTAGCTGCCATAAGAGCATAAAACCACTTTTTAAATATTGCTGTATAGGAGGATTTTTCTTCTGCTGCTGTGGTATGGAAGATAAGCTGTTTCCTTTGAAAAAAGTTCATTCTGGAGGGGCGAGGATGACTGACACATAAATAAGTGAAGTGGGTACAAGGCGCACACACAATGCCATAGCTACTGTGATTCCAGCACTGAGTGGTCCAAGGCTAAGTGTTTACTTTAGTTACTGTATAAAAATAAACCAAAGCACCTGTGGTTCTCTGTTCTTCTGGGTTTTACAAAGTGTGCTTATTTTATTTTTAAAGTGTTTCAAATTCCATAATGACCATATCAACTCTAGGAAGGAGTGGATGGGTCAAGAAATTGGGTAACAATAGAGAGCTTTTGATCTCCATGTCACTGATTTTGAAACAATCACTCCTGATGGTAAGTCACTGCCACTGTGTTGGCCTATGTGAAGTGAGGGGATATTCTCAGCAGTTTCTAGTGATGTCGGTCTTGCAGATGACCTCCACCAGATAAGTGTAGATGGTTCCCCTGTCTATGCTGGAGCAGGTTAGTGGAATTAGCTCAGAACATGAATGTATTGTTTAAACCAACTCAGCTGACTTTTGTCTGAAGTATGTCAAAGGATGTTCATATGAGCCGTTCCAATAGCTGAACTGTGGATCCAGGAAGTTCTGCTTGGGCATGATAACACACTTTCAGAGAGAGCTGTTTGGAGAATGAATGTTTATGAACTAGGTAAGGAATCTAATAAAGCATATATGCACAGCTAGATTTAAATACATGAGCAATCTGATTGAATTCAGGAGTGTTCCTTGTGTGCTTATGATTAAGCAGGAGCTTAAATGTTTTGGACTGGGTATCAAGTGCTCAGCATTGGCAAGCTCAGGATATGAATGGCCTACAGAGATCAAACAGTCCTTATCTCTGGGATAACATGAAGCCTCAGAGACAGAGAGAGCAGCATAACTGCTTGATTGTTGGACAGGTTTCATATGGCCATCTAGCACTTTTCCCAACAAGCAAATGCACTCTTTAAAACAGATTTAATGAGTGAACTTAGGTAGCGTGTTCAGTGTCAGCTCAGTCCCCTTGAGTATGTGCATTGTGATATGGTCTTTAATCATAGGACCTCATGTTATTCTCTCAGCTAGACCCCTGACTCACTGAGTTCTCCAAATGGAAAACTTTCACATAATAAGCAGCTATTCAGTGTTTTGTTTTAGCTTCAGTGTTCATTGTGCAGCCCTGTCTTGTATTTACTGTGCGCTATTCAGATCCTGCTCTGAGGATATAATCATTAATCTCCTTGTGGGCTTTTTTGTTTTGCTCATTGCTATACCCTGGGAGCATTTCAGAAACATTAATTAATTATTTTTTTTGAGACCCCTATGAGAGACAAATACGCTATCCTTGTATGGACAGAGGCAGAGAGAGTTATGATCAGAAGTACCTACTCATTTGATAGATGAGTGAAGATTCCTGGGATCAGATTTGTTTCATGTCATTCACTAAGGTTTGATACATTCGCTGTCTCATTTCTACCCCTTCCTTCTCCAAGGAAGACTGGGATAGACTATTTCTGTCATTTGGAGCTCTTAGGACCTAAAAGACAAGGAATAGGCAGCAACTAACCACTTGGGAATAACCTGTTTCAAGTGATTTGCCCCCATCAAATGAAAATGCGGAGATGGGATGCACTGCTCCCAGGCACTCTCATTGCAACACTGTACTTTTGTCTTCTTGCATTCATTTTTCTTCTATTCTGCCTGTTTTCTACCTCCTGTTGTCAATGAAGCTGGAGTCCTACATGTAAATGATTCCTATGTTAGACACTATTTGCCTTGTGCCCTAAGTGAGCTGGAGATCTGACCGAAAAGAAAACAAAAAACACTTCACCTGGGGTGTGCTCATTAATTATCATCTCCTTTCTCATGCACACATATACCAAAGTCTTAAAGTATTTCTACATAGGCAACTTTTCTGTTTCCATTAGTGACTTTGGAGTGCTTGGTGTTGCAGCCTTTGCATACTTTTAATACTATTCTGGGTGAAAGTTTTCATTGATTTAAAGCAGAACGTGCAACTGAAATGAAGCCCCAACATGCTGAAATCTGAGTCATCTGCTGGGCTAGAACTTTAGATCCACCACACAGACATCTGCCACAAGAGTTGATGAGTTAACTGATAGAGGATGGCAATCTGATATTGCTGTGGACTGGCATGAGGGAGGGAAA